TCCTGAAGCATCTTCCTTCTTCGGTACTACCCAAATTGGAGAACTCCAAGGTGAGTTGCTTGGACGTATGATTTGCTGGGCCAACATTTTATTGATTTGACTATCGACTTCCGTTTTGTGGATTTGGGGGTATCTATACGATTTGCTATAGACGGGAAGTTCGTCGGACGTTCGAATTCGATGTTTAATTTGGTTGGTAAATGTTAGTGGTTCGTTTTCGTTGTAAAATATATCTGAATATTGTTTTATTAAATCCAAAATTTTATTTTTCTCTTCTGGGTTAAGATGGTTAATTCGAAATTTGGAAAAATCTAATTTCGATGTTTTTGGAGTATCGTCAAAATTGTTTAAATTTATTTCTTGTAAATGTCTATTATTAAAACGTTCTACGTCTATGGGATGTGAGAAGTCTAAAGTTACAGGTTCACAAGTGTTATTCAGAATTGTTGTCAGAGCAAAACCATTTCGAGCTACTGATATACATTCCGGAATCTCACAATTGTGCATTTTTTGATGAGGAATGATGATTTCGCCATTTTTAGTAGACGTTTTAATTTTTATTACTTGCTCAACTCGTGGGAATACTGTTATGTTGTATAGTTCACTTGAAATTTTGGGATAATCTTGAACCTAATTATTTGATATTTATATTTCGCTTTCTGGGTCAAAACTACTCGAATTTCCTCACTCACGTTGTTACGACTGAATCGACTTTTCAATTCTCTATCCAATGATGCCAAAACAAATTCTGTGACTAGAATGGTTCTTGAGAAACCTCGAAAAAAGCAGCATGTTCAAGTGGATTTTGCAGCTCAAAAAAACCACTCAAATCTAAAACTTCTTGAATTCAAGCATTTTTTGAGAAAACTGCCAACATTTCCTTATTGGTGGTTCATTTTCTAAAAAGGCCATTTATTTCTGCCTAGAATGATGTACAGATGAGCGTTCTTGCTCATTTTGCCTCCGAGATATGAGAAAAAGGGGACGGAAAACATGGAATTTTGGCATAATCTTGCACCTAAATGTCTGATATTCAAATTTCGCTTTCTGTGTCAAAACTGCTCGAATTTCCTCACTCACGTTGTTACGACTGAATCGACTTTTCAATTCTCTATCCA